GCTGTCTACCATCCTACTACCTATATATTTTAATAATTGTATAAATAACATCAACCCATTCATGACTGCATATTAGAATGGCTAGTTGGACATTTATTGGACAATGACATTTGTTTACTCTTGAACATCGGCAAAAATCAAGCATTTCCCCTACTTTGAGCTAGATTTCAAGGTCCTTTTGATAGTAAAACCAATAAAAAATCACCTCTATTTCTATAATATGTTTTCCATTCTATCAAATGTGACTACGAAAGCGAGAATATAACCATAAAAACTATACGAAAATACACCTCAAAGTCAGCGTTCTAATCCAAAAACACTGTTCGCAGCTTTTTTTTTTTCCTCAATATGCACTGTGCTGTAGGATTTTTTTTATATGGTGCACACTGACCACACAAACGCATTCTCTCACATGTGGGCCTACCAGCTTTCTCCTGATTAGAAGCCGCTAGAATTTTTGAGCATATATACGTCAAACACGGTAGCTCGTAAGATCTATATATACATGACCGAAACAGTCAAAGAGTTAAACAGAAATGAAAGAGGAAACAGTATTAAACTTTCATTTTCAAAACAATGCAAGTGTGTGTGCGTGTATATTATATATCCATATAGTACAGTGGACCCCCGGTTTACCATCAGCTCCCAATGCGACCAATTATATAAGTGTATTTATGTAAGTGCGTTTGTATGTGTGTGTTTGGGGGTCTGAAATGGACTAATCTAATTCACAATATTCCTTATGGGAACAAATTCGGTCAATACTGGCACCTGAACATACTTCTGGAATGAAAAAATATCGTAAACCGGGGGTCCACTGTATAGTGAAACCTCAGGTTTTGGCCGTAATCTGTTCCAGGAGCTAGGCCTAAATGCAAAACTGCCGAAAGGCGAAGCAATACTTCCCATAGGAAATAATGTACAGTGGACCCGTGTTTCGTTGGCTGTGACTTTCGTGAAATCCGACTTTTGGCAAATTTTTTTTTTTGCCCAAATTTAGCTTTGTGGTTTGTGATTGGACTCGTGATTCTGCATTCGTCCAGTACACATCCACCCGTCAGCGCACACACAAAGCCAGTCTCCCGCACCATTCACACTCAGTGCGCCATTCTTTACCAGCACATGAACATCACCCCATGGGTTCATACATTTCATAATAATCCACCGTTTTGTGCTTGCAACTGCTAAATAAGTCACTATGGGCCCAAGGAAAGCTAGTGCCAGCCCTTTGGTAAAGAAAGTGAGGAACACTATCGAATTCAAGGAAGAAATCATTGAAAAATATGAGTGGAGTGCGTGTTACAGAGCTTGCCAGGATGTATGGCAAACCCCATTCAACCATCACTTTGATCGTGGCGAAGAGAAAGGAAGAAGTGCTGCTGCTGTTGTAAATGGGGTAGATATGCTGACAAAAATCACATTGCAAACCCTTGAAGTGGAAAGGTTATTGTTGGTGAGGATTACCCAAAAACAGTTAGCAGGAGATAGTATTATGCAGGTGTTAATATGTGACAAGGCAAGGCAGAGGCATGACGATCTCGTAAAGAAAATGCCTGCAACGAGTGATGATTGTGATTTTAAAGCCAGCAAAGGTTGGTTTGAGAGATTTAAGAAGTGTAGTGGCATACACAGTGTGGTAAGGCATGGCAAGGCTGCCAGTTCTGACAAAAAGCAGCTGAGAAGTTTGTAGAGGAGTTTAAGGGGTATTTAGACACTGAAGAATTTGAACCCCCAACAAGTGTTCAATTGTGATGAAACAGGCCTCTTGGAAAAAAAAATGCCAAAGAGGACCTACATCACGCAGGAGGAAACGGCACTCCCAGGACAAGCCTATGAAAGACAGGCTAATTCATGTTTTGTAGTAATGCTAGTGGGGATTGCAGAGTGAAGCCTTTACTAGACTCACTGAAAATCCCAGTGTGCTCAAGAAAAACAGTGTCACCAAGAGTAATTTGTGTGATGTGGAAGGCTAACAGTAAGGCATGGGTCACAAGGGAAATTTTCCTCGATTGGTTTAATGAAGTGTTTGGCCCCAGTGTGAAAAAATACTTCCTGGAAAATAAATTGTAACTCGAGTGCCTCTTGGTAATAGACAATGCTCCTGCTCATCCTCCAGACTTGGAAGAGTGAATGGTGCTGGAGTTTTGCTTCATCAAAGTGAAATTCTTGCCTCCTAATACCACTCTTCTCCTCCAGCCCATGGACCAGCAGGTCATTTTAAATTTAAAAAAACTGTACACTACAGCAGTGTTTCAAAAGTGTTTTCAAGTGACCTCAGACACTGAACTGACCCTAAGAGAGTTCTGGAAAGATCACTTCAGTATCCTCACTTGCATAAACCTTATAGGCAAGGCTTGGGAGGGAGTGACTTGCAGGACTTTGAACTCTGCTTGTGGAAAATTGCGGCCAGAATATGTACAAGAGGGATTTTGAAGGGTTTGGGGGCAGACCCTGAATAGCCTATGCCAGTTGTGGTATCTATTGTGGGATTGGGGAATTCCATGGGGTTGGATGCGAGTTTGGAGGACGACGATGAAGAGCTAACCACTACCGAGCTGCAAGAGCTTGAGGTGCAACACCAACAGACCACAGCTCAGGAATTTCCTTCAGAGGAGGAAGAGAGATGGAGGAAGGTGCCTTCTTCAAAGATTAAGGACATCTGTGCCAAGTGGACTGAAGTGCAAACATTTATGGATGAACATCACCCTGACAGCTGTTGCAAGCTGTGCTGGCAACATCTACAATGACAATGTTGTGTCCCATTTTAGGGAAATTTTGAAGACATGCCAAAAACAGAGCACTCTGGACAGATTTTTGGTGCAACAGGGATCCAATGACTTAAGCTGGTGCTGGTGGCACTAAAAAACAAAAGGGATGTAACCCCAGAAAAAGGACTTTGTACCTTAAGTCCTTATGGAAGGGGATTCCCCTTCCAAACAATAGTACACCTTCATCCTCTCCCCTTCTCCCGTCTCATCAGTCATCAATAAGTCTTCAATAAAGGCAAGTGTCATTCTACATTTGTCATTGTTTTCTGTGTAGGAAAATGTACATTTCATGTAAAAAATAATTGTTTAATACTTTCAGGTGTCTGGAACAGATTAATTCGATTTCCATTATTTCTCTTGGGGAAAATTAATTCAGATTAAGTCAGAATCAGTATAAGACATGCTCTCTGGAATGGATTAATTACATTAACTGAGGGTCCACTGTATAGTTTTACATACAGAAAACAATGAGAAATAAATATAAATGACAAATGAAATCGATAAATGAACATTTAATATTACTTCTACCATTATTGAAGACTCCTGTTGGCATATGGAAGATGCATGGAGGGGAGAGGGAGGAGAGGCAATTGGGTGGAAGGGGAATCCCCCTCCATAAGGACTTCAGGTATCAAGTCCCTATCCAGGGTTACTGCCCCTTTTTTGTCTTACTGGCACTGGATCCCTGTTGCACAAAAAATCTGTTCAGAGAGATTTGTTTCTGGCGTCTAAGATTTGCCTAAAATGGGACAAGGCATTGTCATTGAACATGTTGCAGACATGGCTCACAACAGCTTTGTTAGGGGGATATTTTTCCACAAAACTGTGTAACTCTCCACTTTGCACATGTCAATCACTTTTTGTACATCCTAGTGAGATCGACCACATGTACGAAACTTTCACACTTTACTACGAGCTCTTTCTTGAATTCTATAGTGTTTTTCGCCTTTATGAAAGGGCTGGCACTTGGAACTTTCTTTGGCCCCATGGTGGCTTAGCAGTCACTCAATAAACAAAAAAAAAAAAAAAGGATTATTACGAAATGTTTCAGATGAATGCGCAGGGTAATGCTCACTTGACGAAAAACAAAGCCAGACTGACTTGGAATATGTGGGATGCTTTGTGGGTGTGAGGGCAGGTGGACACGTTCAGCACGGCAGACTGACGAGAACTGAGGTAATGAAAGAAAACTTGGATTTCGGGGTGGGGGGTTGAATTTGGCGAAAACCAAGGCAAACAAAAACCCAGATTCCACTGAACAGTACTATATACAGGCAGGCCCCGCTTTACAGCATTTCGCTAATACAGCAGTTTTTAATTATGCCAATTATTTATATATGACTTCCTACAATAAAAATATTCACTATAAGCTAAGGATGAAAATATTTTAAGGTAAATAATGTAGTGGAGGGAAAGGGGGGTAGAGGTCAGCCTAGGAAAAGTTGGAGGGAAGGGATAAAGGTTTTGTGTGCAAAGGGCCTGGACTTTCAGAAAGCATGTGCAAGTACGTTAGATAGGCGTGAATATGGAGAAACGGTTTTTAGGACTTGACGTGCTGTTGGAGTGAGAGCAGAGTAACATTTATGAAGAGATTCAAGGAAACCAGCAGGCGGGACTCGAGTCATGGAGATGGAAAGTACAGTGCCTGCATTCTGAAGGTGTTAATGTTGCAGTTTTATAACTGTAGTGTAAGTGCACCTCTGGGAAGACAGTGATGGAGTGAATGATGGTGAAAGTTTCTCTTTCGGGCCACCCTACCTTGGTGGGAAAGGGCTGTGTTAAAAAAAAAAAAAAAAAAAAAAAAAAAAAAAAAAAAGGGGGAGTGTACTGTATATGCATTTTTTAAAAAAGTCAAGCTATATTGCTCACTTAATAGTGTAAACATGTTATCAGGCTTTTATGTGCATTTGAAAGTGAAAGAAAAAGGATACGATTCACTTTACAGCAGTAGCCTGAGCCTAACCTGCTGTATAAGCAGGGCCCTCCTGTATAGACAATCTCTACAGCCAATTTGGATAGGCAGACATGTTGGTTAGTGGGAGGCCCAAAATAAGTGACTTACTAATTACATTATATATACTATATGTATCTTGCAGAAGTATTTATACTATTTTTAACAGCTTGTGTCAAACTTCAATTATAAATGTAAAAATACTATTACACCTTCAAACACTAAAGTTTTATTTTTTCTAAAATTAACTAATCATAGAAACTGAACACTGAACATCTCACCTGGCCTCCAAATTGATTGCAGGGGAAGGCAAGGATACACAGGCCATTGGGTTCATATTTCTCGTGAAGCTGCACCAGTTCGGTGTAGTTCACGGCAGTTTTTCCTCACTTACTTGCCACATTTACCACAATGCAAACATGGCCCCTGGAGGGATACACAATACACTATTGAATCTGCTTTATAACATTTGTTCCTTGTCCAAGTCACTAACAAAAAGTGTGCCACGAGACAATTTCAATGGAGGAAAAACTGAAAACACGGCAAACCACAAATATTATGCCTTCAAATAAAGGATGTGGAAAAGCTTAGCAGAGGAATACAGTGATGTGATGACTGTACCTAAAAAGAATGGAAAGTTTTTGATAAACCCCCAAAGTTACAAACTGGCTCGGGAAAAAAGAGCAGCCTTAGGCTAGCAGGTAAAGCTGTGACAAATGCATAATAGGTTATAAAATAATGTGAAATAATAATATACTCTAATTCATTAAACTCTTAACTGAGGGTCTGAGAAATTGGAGGTAATAGCTTTATTTAAGAAAACTGAGGGTAGTCTCAATTCATAAAACCTTCACCAGCATCAAGTCACTCCTTGAATAGATACAAAAGGAAAGACTTCCCAGTTTAACCCTTAAACTGTCCAAATGTAGATCTAGGTTCATGTGCGTAGCACTCCGAACATAAATCTACTATTAAATAAAAAAAGGCACAATACCATTTACAAAGTCACACTGACTTTGTAAATGGTCCAAGTCGGACCGAAACGTCGTCGTCAGCTCCTCTCTGCTATGTGCAGGTTATTTGTGTATCTATTTTTTAACACAAGAAAGCACGTAAAATAGAAAGTTTGGAGCACTATGCACGTGAATGTAGATCTACATTTGGACAGTTTAAGGGTTAAAGAGGAAAAAAAACAGAGGCCATGTTTGTGAACTGAAAAGGAAAGTAGTGGCAGTTTATTTTTGAGTGGCAGACCAATGTAATGAGGTGTAAATAGTTAGCAACTGCTACAGTAAATAGAAAGTTTAAAAACGTGTGATAACTAACAGTAAAGATGCACCACCACAATCAGCTTTGCTCCTGTAGCTACAAACACTGGTATAAGTAAATTTATAAAAATTACAGGAAACTAATACAAACTTATCACAAATTTAGGATATGGTCATGCAAATCTGATCAATGCACCTGTTTCAGATAATTAGTTGTATATTCACTGAAAACACAACTTCCAAGGGATAGCTACTGCTACTTGGCCAAGGTAAAACTAAAAGAAAAAAAAATAGCAAAAAGGAGGGGGGACTACCATTCACATAGCAAATTCGTGCAATTAAAAAATAAGAGCAAATCTGCAGTAAAGTGTCAAAGATTAAGGCAGACCACTGAGTATAGTAATAGCAATAGCAATGAAGATGGTGTCAAAGCTGGGATGATCTGTGAACATAACAGACTAGAGATTAGTCTTGCTCTAGAACAATAACAAAAAATGAGTTTCAAAATGGCATACAAAATGTTACAAATTTTGAAACATCCATTGGATACACAGTATTTATATCACATGTATAGCAAAGAGTGTATCAGTCTGTAGTGGAAGGAAGGCGGGGTAGGGGTCAGCCTAGGAAAGGTTGGAGGGAGGGGGTAAAGGAGGTTTTGTGTGCGAGGGGCTTGACTTCCAGCAGCATGCGTGAGAGTGTTGATAGGAGTGAATAGAGACAAATGGTTTTTAATACTTGACGTGCTGTTGGAGTGTGAGCAAAGTAACATTTATGAAGGGTTCAGGGAAACCAGCAGGCTGGACTTGAGTCCTGGAGAATGGGAAGTACAGTGCCTGCACTCTGAAGGAGGGGTGTTAATGTTGCAGTTTAAAAACTGTAGTGTAAAGCACCCTTCTGGCAAGACAGTGATGGAGTGAATGATGGTGAAAGTTTTTCTTTTTTGGGCCACCCTGCCTTGGTGGGAATCGGCCAGTGTGATAAAAAAAAATAAAAAAAAGTATAGCAAAAACCTGAATGTATTACTGTATTCTCATTCTGTTAAGATTGCTGATAGCCTTTACCTTTTCATATAAATTAAATTAATTTTAAATAAAAATCAAAACTTGCCTGTATTTTTCCATTGATACATCATTGCCATCTATGTCTAGGGCATTAAAGCCATAAAATGAAGAACCAGCTGCCTGAAAGAAAAATTTTAAGATTTTGATTTACTGTACATACAAATCAGTTACTGAAGACATGTTACGAAAAAAACAAAAGTAAAACTCTCTATAGTCAATTACTATACAGTGAACCTCTGGTTTCGGGCCAACACGGAATCTGCCAATTCGGAAATAGAGCACTTTTTTCAGTGAAATTTCCCCCCTGATTTTGTGCATAAACTCGGAAATTGTTGGTACCAGCCGCGTTCACCTAGGCCGCTGATATGTTCTTGACTTGCTCTTGGGCACATTAAATGTCTTGTTTTAGGTTGCAGACATTTTCATTAATACATGCATTTATGATATTTTTTTCAAAATTGTATAAGAAACACGCTACACAGCATATAAACATGCAATGTTTATATGCTATCGAGTGGAGAGTCGGGTGGAGGGTAAAAATTACATTTTCTCTGGTCGAGCGTTAGAGAAAACAATCTGCCGTCTGGCTCAGTCACCACCCTTAATACGAGTTTACAATTCTCGGCAGGAATTATTCATTACTTCTCCCTTTGTTTACGATGGTATCTAAGGTAGTTGTCAGATGTGATTAAACTCGGCAAATATGGTAAGTCAATGGTAATATGGCTGTGTTCTGCAGTGTAGGCAGCCAGTACGTGTAGCCCAGAGGAACTACATACATGTATATGTACCAACATCTGCCGGCTACCTACACTGACTTCCTACAAATAAACACTGTACTACTCACCTCTTGCCCTACATTAAGACTACAAATATTTTAATGCAAGTAATGAATGTACTAATCACTGAAAAGCTGCAACACTATAGTTATTCTCTATAAAATTTATTTTGTTAATATTTTTGGGTGTCTGAAATGGATTAACATTATTTCTTATGGGAAATACACATGTACTTCAGTTTTCAGCCATTTAGGATATAGGCCAACCTTCTGGAACGGATTACTTACAATAAATTGGGGATCTACTGTATTTACCTATAAAATCCATTTATCTTTCATTTTCACAGTAATGATGATAGGAAATGCTATATCCCATTTTTCCATTATCTGATAAGCAATAATCAAAGCATTAGAATGACCACTTTAAAAATCCTGGAGAATAGCAGAATTACCCAGGTCAGAATTTACATTATTTCCCAAACCTCCATTACATCTTTTCAGTCAAACATAACAGTAACCCACAATATATATACATATTAAAGAAGGGAGGGGGGGAGACTTCAGAAGCAGTGGCAAAAGAAATAAAGGGAATGAAAGGAGTCCAGGTTAAGGGGAGTCGTGAAGCCTTTTAGACAACTGGCAAGAAGTTGTGCACACACACCTTGCTTCCCTGAGTAATAAACTACATTATAATGGCTGGTTCTTGTGTTTTTCTCAAACTTCCTCCATAGTACATTTACTAATGCATCTTTTTGAAAATGAAAGAGAGAGAAGACAATACATTACTATTTTCTAGTAGTGCACACATTACGTAGAGAAACTGTACACAAAATTTAACAAATGCATGCAACTGTTCAGCTTCATTACTATGGAGCTTTCCCCACTTGCTAGAGTTTAATTTATAAATTATCAAAAATTGTATACCTGGTACATGAAAGCTCATTGCTATTTTCAGATGTTTATGGCACGCTTTCCCAAAAATTTATGGGTTTAATATCATTAGCATATTAATCTCCTTAAAGAAAAAGTCTACAATATTTTACATAGGAATAAAATAAATGCTCACTCACCATGACTAGAGGTTTTGCACAAGCTGCCAAGCACACACTTCCACTTACAGTCAATAAACTCTTAGCTGAAAAGGAAATTAATTCTCATGTATAATGCAATTCTGAATAGTGAGCAGTGAAGAATTTGTGAAGGAAGCATGAATAAAGCAGCATTTAAATAAACCAGATTAAGTGAATACAATGAACAGCAAAATTGTGAAGTTGAAACATTAAGGTAGCATGGTCTACAAAGTGCTACAACCAATTAATCATGTACAAGTCCTCCATCACAAATCTGGCATCACTGGGACCTGTAGTGTGCTGGATTACTGAGGCTGCTGGATTACAGACTGGTTAGGTTAGAATACACTTAATAAAATTAACCGACTTGACTTGCACAAGAAAGTTCATTGAACATCAGCAAAAATTGAACATTTTTGCTACTTTGAGCTGCATCTCAAGGTACTTTTAATTGAGACCAATCAAAATCATATCTATTTCTATAATGTATCTTCCATTCTATAATATATAAAAAAAAATACAACCATAAAAACCATACGAAAATATACTGCTATGGGGCAATAATGGCTGAGAAGGGAACTCTTATTTATTGTCTGATTTCTTTCATTTTTGGTGTACATTAAGAAGCATCTTTCCATTATATATTGCCCAAGTTTCAATAAGATAGCCCAACAAACTGAGAAAAAAAATATCTTTATTTACTACAAATACATGTACATGGTATACAGGCCTAGCCGACATCAGTGACATACTACTATAAAGAAAGCCCCTTGTTATGCTAAGCATTTCAGACAAATTAGGTCAGTGTCCCAGGATAAGACCCACACCAGGTACCCGTTTGCTGATGGGTGAACATAGACAACAGGTGTAAAGAAACACCCAACATTTCTACCCTGACTGAGAATCTAATATTTACCAAAAATCATACATGGCTAGCCCAAGCTAGCTACTAAACCACTGACTTTTGGGTTATCCTAGGTTCTCTACACACATGCTGCTATGTGCGATAATCTATGTAGAGAAAATAGCTTTTTTTTGTTTCAGTTTTATGGTGCAGTACGAGTGTATATCACAATCAGCCATGTGCTATATCCAGTTTTCTCTAATATAAACCCCCAAGACTGGTACAGTACCTTTATCCCATATCCTCTTCATACCTCTGTCGAACTGCTCTGTATTATGCCAAGTATTATTCATTCTTGAGTATTTAACATGTTATGTTATTTATATTTTTTATTATGTCATATTAGATCAAATGTGATAAGCAAACAAGCTGTAGTGTTGATATTAGTGCAATAATAAAGCATATTCCCCCACATCACGAGACTGATCTCATGGCAACAAGACAGTGGCTTCAAAGCCACCTTATCTTTAATGGACAATGTACTGCGTAGGTGCTTTACACAATGAGAAGTGTTTCTTTTATTCGTTGGAACCATGGGTAGGGCTAAAAGCAAGCAGGTTATAACAAATTGAGAGTGCCACCAAACAGTGCCAGCAGGTTGGTGTGGCAACCCTGGAAATTTGAAATTATGCTAGCTGAAATTAGTGCCGAATATCTGATGGAACCAGATGTCTGACTGCTGGATTTGTGATGGCGGACCTGTAGTACAATACAGCAATACCTTGTATGTGAAAAAAAAAAGTACTGAAGACTGTTGTAAATAAGCAATGTACCATAAATACGGTAATTCAATATCAAAATGCAAATATTTATTTCTTTGCATAGTATACAATGTGTAGTTTACATGTAAAATACATATTGTTAAGCAAGCACGAAGAAAGCCACTTATATACACAACCATTTTGGGAAGACTAATACTAATGCTTATAGACTACTTAACCCTTTCAGGGTTTCCGACATACTAGTACGGCTTATGCACCAGGGTTATTGATGTACTAGTACACCTAAATTCTAGCGCCTTCAAATCTAGCAAGAGAAAGCTGGTGGGCCTACATATGAAAGAATGGGTCTATGTGGTCAGTGTGCGCAGTATAAAAAAATCCTGCAGCACACAGTGCATAATGAGAGAAAAAAAAAAAAACTTGACCGTGTTTTTGGTTTAAAACAGTGACTTTGCACTGTATTTTCGTATGGTATTTATGGTTGCATTCTAGTTTTCCTGTTCTCATTTTATAGAATGGAAGACATATTACAGAAATTGAGAATTTTGATTGGTTTCACAATGAAAAGTACCTTGAAATTGAGCTCAAAGTAGCAGAAATGTTCGATTTTTGCCAAAGTTCAAAAGTAAACAAATCATGCCACGTGTCCAATACACGTCAACTGGTGAGTAATATTCTTTCATAAGTGCGCTGATATTGTTTATACCATTTTTACACTAATGCAGTAGTCTGCATAACAGTAAATCTTCTATTTTTTGTGAGAATAAAAATTCAAAGTGGAAAGCAAAAGAAATGTAAGAGGGGCCTGGGGACATGACTAATGAACAGAGGAAATGTTATTTTAGTGCCAGGAATGTCTGTCTTGTTTATTCTGGACCCTATTTGGAAATTGGCATCTTTTGAAATTTGTGTGAAATTGGCAAAATTGCTAATTTCTAACCACTTTATTGGATAGTTGAAATCAGTAAATGGGTGGTGTCTTTTACTCATTCGAAAGAAAAAATGTATTTCTAGTGAAATAGTTATGATTTCTGTCGACTAGTACACTGGAATTGGCCGAAAATAGGGCTCAAAGTGGGCGAAATTGCCTATGTGTAAACATCGTCAAGACCGCTAACTTTGCGAGAGCATAATTCCGTAAGTTTTCCATCAAATTTCATATTTTTGGTGTAATTATGACCTAGAAAAGATTCTCGCTCTTTTCATAAGAAATTTTTTTTTTCCGAAAAATTTTCTACCCTGAAAACAAGTTTAGGAAAGGGCCTCTCGACCCTGAAAGGGTTAAGACTAGACAGGTTATGGAGTGGTAAATGTTAATTATACGTACAATAATACAAAAAGAGGAGTAGCAAAAGTTTTATAATTAGTGAAATTTACAGCAGAGGGGGTAAAAAATAAAATTAGTGCAATTTACAATAGCACAATTTAAGTGAGTATTAACACTAAATTGATTTAGTGATTTTAAGTCAATTGGGATTTTTATAGCAGTTTCAAACTGGTTCTATGATTTCAGGCATGGTAATATGTTGGTGCAGTAAAGTTTGGGAGATGAAGATATTTTAATTATACTCCTTAATTGACTGGCAGATAGGGAAACTTTTGCATATTTTGTATGTTAAGCAAGTTTAAACTCTTGAAGAGCAGAGGAGTGTACTGTCTGGTGCAGGAGTTGATCATCCACACAGCAGCTATTGTTAGATTAACCCTTTGACTGTTTCAGGCCCCTCTCTGAAACTGTCATTCTATGTCGCTCAATTTTTGAAAAAAAAAAAAAAAAATTATTTTTTCTTATGAAATGATAGAGAATCTTTTCCCGATGGTAATGACACCAAAAGTTCGAAATTTGGTCGAAAACTCGTGGAATTATGCTCCCGCGAAGTTAGCGGTCTCGGCGACATATGCGTATCGGCGATTTCGCCGACTTTGAGCCCTATTTTCAGCCAATTCCATTGTTCCAGTTGACCAAACTCATAGCTATTTCTTTAGAACTCCGTTTTATCTATCAGCTGAGTACAAGAAACCTCCCATTTACTAATTTGGACTACCCAATATGGTGGTCAGAAATTGGCAATTTGGCCAATTTCACACAAAATAAAAAAGATGCCAATTTCAAAATAGGGTCCAGAATAAACAAGGTAGACATTCGTGGCACTAAAATAACATATGCTCTGTTCATTAGTCACATCTCTAGGCCCCTCTTATATTATTATTGCTTTCTATTTTGATTTTTTATTCATACAAAAAAATACAAAATTTACTGTTATGCAGACGACTGCATGATTGTAAAAATGGCATAAATAATATCAGTGCACTAGTGAAAGAATATTAGACTCCCCAGTTGACGTGTATTGGACGTGTGGTGTGATTTATTTACTCTTGAACATTGGTAAAAATCGAACATTTCCGCTACTTTGAGCTCAGTTTCAAGGTCGTTTTCATCATAAAAGTAATGAAAATCATCTCTATTTCTGTAATATGTTTTCCATTTTATCACCTAAGACCATGAAAACGCGAATACAATGATAAATACTATACGAAAAAACACCTCAAAGTCGGCGTTTTATTCCAAAAAAACGATCAGAGTTTTTTTTTCTCATTACGCAATGTGTGCTGCAGGATTTTTTTTATGTGGTGCACACTGATCATACAGACCCATTCTCTCACATGTGGGCCTACCAACTTTCTCCCACTTGATTTGAAGCCGCTAGAATTATTGAGTATATATACGTCAGAAACATTGGCTCGTAAGACGTATTTATACGTCGAAAACAGTCAAAGGGTTAATGGTTTAAGTAGATCTCCAAGCACAAATACCATAGGTGAGGTAAAGGAATAGTAAAGTAGTGCTGTTTAGGATACATAGTACTGTATTTTGGAAAGCATGCCTACCGTTTTGGAGATCTCCTTTGCTACATTAGATATGGGTCTGAAATTTAAAGGCTTCAGTCAAGGTGAAGACCTAGAAATTTGCCCCCCCCCCCTGAGTGTCTTGTAATGGGGAAACCACTGACGCTAAATTAGATATTTAAGGCTGTTTCCAAACAGCATGTAGAAGGATTTGTCTATTTGATTTGAAAAATTGAACAATTTGCAGTTTTTTCTTTTTATCAGAAAACATTTTATTGCATCGAATATCATTTTGCAATGCCTGCCTAACTAATACCAAAACAAGACCATTTTATCTTCCTTAAAAATTTACTAGTTTTTGAAGCCATTTTCTTAAATAATTTTTTTTTTTTTTAGATCATTGAGAAATCTTGCAGCTGCCTCATTGTTTGCATTGGTACCTTGACCAGTAATTCAAACAAATCCTTTGACTATTTCGGTAATATATACAAGTCTTATGAGCCAGTGTTTTTGACGTACAGTAAACCCCTGGTTATTGGCAGCTTCTGTTATTGGCCAACTCGGTGATCGGCTGGTTTTTCGGCGCCTGGTT